TTCACACCGGCTTTGTGTGAGGCCGTGATATAGCTCCACTAGAACCGGCCCATACGTGCCATACTATATTAATTCGTTAATTACAATAACAAATAACAATCACGAGAAAATTATAATTATAACTGGTGAAAAAAAAAGTAATAACGAAAGCCTTAACTCGTCGAGTACCGGTTTTATAGACACAATTAAAGAACAATAGGTCGCGGTCACCGGTGACCGCTTGGTGTTTGACAGTTTAAAGTTGTAATTTCATAAGGCACGTATGGGAGCAGAGCAACGTAGGCACTAGCTTTTTTGTCTCATTTTATCGAACCCTCTATAATAAAAAATACATATATCTCTTTTAAAACAAAATGCTCTCATTTTAAAGGTAGCCAGTTGTCCAGCCACTGCACCAACCGTGCAGTCAATCATTAAATTATTTCGATAAAAAGCTTGTTAAATGAAAATTATAATAGTGTGACACTCTAATGGACATGAGTTCACACAATCATTTAAAAATAGAGTGATATAAAACGATATTGTTAATATATTCTCATGTTGGTATTTGTTTCGGAACAACTGCTTTGATTAATGGCACCGCTAAATACTTTTGACAGCGTTCTTCAAAATATTAAACTTTGATTTATTATAGTTCTTCTTCCTTGGTGGTCTGATGTAGACGTACCTATATGATTCCCATGACATGTTCTTGATTGTTATATTTATTTAAGGTAGGGAATAGGATCCTGTACTTCAAAGTATGTATTATATAAGATTGCAGAGGTGCACATTACGACATTTAATGTCACTGTACAATGTTACACCCACTTATAACATTGTGAGGACAATTGTACGTATTTATGATATGTTTTTGTATTTCGCAGTTTTTGAATTATTATTAATAAAAATAAAATTTATAATTTATAAATTTACTTTTCACTATTAATGTTAAGAGTCCTATGTCATAAGGGGTGAGTTTATAGCCATATACCGGGCCACAATTCCAGACTTCGTGCTACTACTGAGAATTAAAAAAATCCAGTAGTACTTTGCCCGACTTTGGAATCGAATCTCATCAAAGTATCCTTTATAATAAAAGGACAAGGTATCAACTAGCCCTATTTATTACAGTATGGGGGTAAACGAAAAGGAGAATGTGGGTCACATTATGGTAGGCGCTTGCGTTGTGTTTCGTCGTGTGAGTGAGGTTACCGGAGGCCCAATTACCCTCCCCTTCCCTAATCTCCCCAATCCCTGAATCCCCAACGATCCTCAAATTCCCAATTCCCAAAAGGCCGGTAACGCACTTGTAACGCCTCTCGTGTTCCAGGTGTCCATGGGCGGCGCCGATTGCTTGCTTATTCCAGAAAAAAAAACTTGACAAATAAAACGTTCATAACTAAATAAAATACCTCTCATTCATTTCTATTCGAAAGGGCAAATCAAACATAAGCTTACTTATAGTACAAGGTCGAAAGTTCAAAAAAGTCACATTTTATCAACTTATCGATCTATTTCTTAGAATGGAAGCATTCACAAAAATGATTCTGATGTTTCAACCTTCATGTAATGTAGATTGATTGCAATTTCTTGCACTTGACCTCACTTGACCCTTTAAAAGGTACCTAAGGGCTTATACCTAAGATCGGAATAGTTGTAACCACCCCTGCTTTTACAACATGTTTCGTGATAACTGATTAAAGGGCTATACAATTTAACAGAGAACAGAGGAATAATTGAACAGAGCAGAAAATACTTTTAACAAACTTTTAACAAATCAATAGGAGTGCAGTGCAACGTACCAACGTTCAACCATCGATTCCAATAGGGAAGATGACTAATTTTTATTTTAATGTCCGTCTGGTAGATTATTTTAAAACATTACACACGATTTTTTTATTTTTTTATAGAAACGAATACTTTCGACAATATACTGATTTGAAAAGTCGCGTGACGTCACTTCTATGTACGTTTTATACATAGAAATGACGTTTTAGCCCCCACTCCTAAACTTTGCTTCGTTATATCTAAGTATCGTTTTATTATGCTACAAAAAAAAAAAATATGTGTCTAATATCTTTTCATTACCTAACTAACGGACTAATTTAGTTTTTTTTTATTTTTTATACCCTTTCATCATCCCTATTATACGTGAATTTATAAACTGTTGGATTGGGCCCTGGTGTGGCGTAAACGATATATATTATTTGTAAACGACACTGGCAACTTTAAAATAAAAACAAATTTTACTGTGATCGATTCCAATTACACGTAAATTCATAAACTGATGGCTTTTTTAAGCGGGGAAAATCATCGAAAGACTGCTACCACCTGGGTGAGGCGGGAGGGAGTGTCAGACTCTTACTGACTAAAAACCACCCCGTTCCTTCTCCTGCACGTCGAGCCGGAGCCCCGGTTACCCATTAGGTTCTTAGTCCCCTGGTGTGGCGATTGAATTTGTATATTTGTAAACGCACCTACGCATTGGCAACTTTAAAATAAAAAAAAATAAATATAATTTGCGTATTCAGAGCTCCATTTTCAACTTTCAACTATTGCCTAAGGGCAACATCATAATAAAATATTACACAGAACTGTATTTAACCTAAGTTTCAAAACGTGATCAGCTAAGCTTCTAAATACTTGCAATAACTTACTAACTATGTTTAAGTACTTTCATCATTTATGCAGGAATATTATCTACTGACTTACTGGTATTGTTGTGTTTGCATAACACATAAGGTCGATATTTTTTTAACTTTACACCCACAGGAGAAAATCAAAGTAAATTCAAATTCAAGTTCATTTAATCATTTGCAAACATGGGTACATAATATAGGTATTAACAAAATATACAGTTTCTCCATATTTTGCCATCACTTGGCATGCAAAGATATATTATAAAAAAATTATATAATAAAATTAGGTACATTAAGTTTAATTAATTGTAGTTTTCTTAAATTGAATACAGTATGTCAAATAAATTAAAATTATTAATACCATTGAAGTCAAAAATGTAATGTCAAATTAAATATATTATGTAAAGGGATCTAAGCCGTGGGTGCGTTTAAAAACATACATATTTATGTAGATATGACGCCCATACCCAGAATAATAATTTGTAGATCACACAAAGAGTTGTGTTGTTTCGGTTTGTGTTTCAATAAGGGTACAATTACATGGGAGTAGGCGGCTAGACTATGGAACGCCAATTCCTACGAGTCTTACAACAAGAGTGTTAATCGATAAATCTTAATCACAATTGACTACACGGTTAGTGCGGTGGCTGGGCAACCGGCTACCGTGCAACGTGTCGCGGGTTCGATTACCGTACGGAACAACACTTTGTGTGATCTACAATTCGTTGTTATGGGTCTGGGTGTCATGTGTATGTGAACTTGAATGTTTGTAAAACTATATGTAAACAAAATCAAAACTATTATTACATATTTCCGCAATAAATACTATTAACGCAAAATATCCAATAAAAGGGCGTGCCCAACAAAATTGTCATAATAATAATGAATACAATCGAAGGCTTGTATTACTAACTATAATTTTGCACATTGATGGCAGCTCTTTATTGGACAGTAAGATATAACATTATGGCAACTGTTGCTTCAAGGGACAGTCAGAGGTAGACCTTTAGCTCGCCCATATTTCGTAATTGATATAAACTCAACACAATGGCGGACTAGCCTATAAAATTAAAAGTTTAAGTACTTATACGCAATTAAAAGGTCTGTGTTACTACTGAAAATTTCGCTGGTTATAAAGTTTTAGTTATCATAGATTGACTGCACGGTTGGCGCGGTGGCTGGGCAACTGACTGCCGCGCAACTTGTCGCGGGTTCGATTTCCGCACGGAACAACTCTTTGTGTGATCGACAGATTGTTGTTCCGGGTCTGGGTGTCATGTGTATGTGAACTTGTATGTGTTTAACCGCACCCACGACACAGGAGAAAATCCTAGTGTTGGGGCAACGTTTTTTTATTAAAAGAAAAAAGTGCTTGCAGGTTGCTGACAACCGGCTGATCTGGACGTAAATGGGAAAGCCCTATATTCAGCAGTAGGTGTCTTGTGACTGATAATAATAATTATGATAGGTTATAAGGATTAGGTTGGACTGCCTCGTTAGCCAAGTGGTCGCAAGTTGATAGCCGGGCAAGGGGTCTGGGGTTCGAATCCCGGGTCGAGCAAAGTATTTCTGGGTTTTTTCAATAAATCTCAGACATAGCATGGAGTTTGGAATTGTGCCCGGTATATGGCAATAGGCTCACCCCCTATTACCTGGGACTCATAACATAAAATAGTGAACAGTGGGTGTTATATTGTACTTACAGTGGCATTAAGTGCCTTAATATGCACCTCTGCCTACCCCTTTAGGGATAAAAGGCATAAAGTTAAGTGAAGTTAAGATAGGTTATCATTCTATCGGAATACGAGGATGAAATTGAAAACCTAATTAAGCAATTATAATGAACGACACAATAATAAACTTTTACTTATTTCCGTTATAATGACGAAGTATAATTAAGTATTAATTGCGAAAATATTTCTAAGTACGCGACTCAATTACATTTTCCTAACACCCCATATTTAAATTTAAACTTTAGTTACCGTATAAATCCTTTACATTCCTAACAATGATTACATTAGTAACTATGAATACTTAAACACGTCACCTATCACGTCGAATGCATCACGCACTAGCGCACCAAGACACAAAAGTACGTACATACATACAAACAAAATGTCAGAAACCAACCCTTCATCGAACGCGGATGTCATCACTAAAAAATGTATATCAAACTTTACTATCGAACACATTCTCTCAATAATAAAGGAAGATCAACCTTCTTACGATGGTGCAGCGGCCCTGATATCATTTTCAGAATCATTCTCACTCATCTAGAGAGGTATATATTGGTCGGTGCGCTGGTGCACATCACAGTCAACGCAACATCGTTCAGTACACAAGTCGTCTTCCTTAGAAAATATATTTTAATATATAATAATGAAATTGGTAAGTCGATTTCGTTTATCGGGAGCGTGTGGGTTAAACAGTCGCGCTACCCTTAAAGCGCGAGGGATCAGCGTCTTACCAAGCTGCTTTGTCAGGTCGTCAGGTCTCCTGACATCTGATTGATAGATTAATCTTATAGTTACATATTTGGTAAAGAAACCCTTTGAATTGTCCCCAATTTTTCCTTGTTTGTATTTTGTAGTAAAATATTTCAGTTATAAAGTGGCACCCTATATAAATATGTATGTCACTTAAATTTAATGTTGTTTAACAAGACCCAGAAATATTATGATTATTTTGTCATAAATTGCAAAAACTGTTTCAGCGGCTTATAACTTATGCATTCAGCTTTTTATAGCTTGTAATTATATTGGTTTACTTTGTGGTTATGATTAGAGCATATCTTCAATACTCGATTCATATGAAGAGTATTACAAAAATGCAATTTCAAAAAGACTAAGTTGCTCAGAATTGCACAGAGTTGCGAACATAAAATCACGTGGAAAAAATTAGCCGCATTTAAAATTCTGTTCATGTATGTATCTATCATTTGCAATATAAAATCGACATTTCGACGTATAATTACACACGTACACAAACTTAGGAGTGCAATTAAACAAAATGTCTACAATTAAAACATGCTCATCATTGATTTGAATTTCAATGAGATAAATAATGCCCATTTGCGGCACAAAAACTAGGTTAAATACAATTGGGGCAGGGTTGAATCGTAAACTCCTTTCTGCCATGTGATTGTACATCACGGTCAGTGCAATATAATGAAGAGTCTGTTGTATTATAAAATATATTTTTTTCCATAGCTCGTGGTAGCCGCTGTCCTCGGTGTCTGCTTAGCAGACCGCCTTGACAACAAATACCTCCCTCCCAGAGGAAACGCTGGTGCTGGCGGTTTCGGCCCTGGCTTCGGTGCTGCCGGTGCCCCTGGCTTTGGTAAAGCCGGTGGTGGTTTCGGTGGAGCTGGTGGCGCAGGAGGTTTCGGCGCTGGTGGTGCCGGTGGATTTGGCGCTGGTGGTCGTGGAGCCGGTGGTGCTGGAGGCTACGGCGGCGCTGGTTCTGGTTTTGGTGGCGCAGGAGCAGGAGGTGCTGGATCTGGATTCGGTGGCACCCAATACTCTGGAAACGCATACAATGCCGCTGCCGGTGGACAGTACAACGCTCGTGGTGGTAACTCCGCTGACGCCAACGCTCAGATCCTCAAACTGAACAGCGAAGTGACTGCTGAAGGATTCTCTTACGACTTCGAAACCTCAAACGGTATCCGTGCTGACGCTCGTGGTGTTGCTACCAACGGAGTCCAGTCTCAGGGAAGCTTCGCGTACAAGGGTGATGATGGCCAGGACTACAGCATCTCATACACTGCTGATGAGAACGGTTACCAGCCCCAGGGTGCTCATCTGCCAACTCCTCCCCCGATCCCAGAAGAGATCCTGAAGTCTCTGGAGCAGAACGCCCGTGATGAGGCTGCTGGCATCGTTGATGATGGTGAGTGATACGATTTAATCATTACAAGCCTAATACTAAATTATCATTACCTTCTAAAACCACACTATTAAGAGTCTTGGCGTGTAATTAACCCACAACGCGTGGTTACAGAGATAATCTATTTTTGTGCCCAAAACTAAAAACAAATCGTGAGATAAAAAAGTTTTGGCAAAGCTGATTGATAGGTTAATTTAAATTTTAGACGATTCATGTTCGTAGTTTTTACGATAATTTACGTATGTTCAAATCTCTTAGGTAGTAAAAAATAGAGTGAACGCGTTTAATATAGCTAGTGGTATAAAACATAAGGGTCGAGACAAAAAGTTTTAGATAATTATAACAAAACAAAGCATAAAAATTACTCTAATATCAATGCAGTAGCATTTAATTCAAAGTCATCGAGCTTACATAAAATAACAAAAATGTTATTGTAAACCATTATATAGAAAGAGAAAACAAACAGTTATAAATTAGTCTTTCTCATTCAAACAATTTTACCGACACTAGCAGAATTTCTTTCATTACAAAAATTCGTCAAAACCTACTAACAAATTATTGTAGTCCTATCAGTAGAAAGACATCGAATAACAAATGCATTATAATTTACTAACGAAACACAACAAAAGGCGGGCATTTAATCTTGTCTAAACTAACATTACCTCAGTTACTTGAATCATAGATTACTCACTACGGAAGACTCCAAATTCCGTCATTAAATGTTCCTATTATAAATTATTTAAACCTCGATTAATAAACAACAAGATGTGAATGAGCTAATATAGCATGCACATTTCACGAAAAATTCTGGATAACACTAGATTTCATATAACAACAAAAAAAGTCATTAAGGCTCATTAATACTCTCAGAGCAACCAATGAATTGGTCCTAAACTTTAGTTTGACTTCAAACAATGGGGCAGTATTTCCAAAATATGAATAGTAACTGTTGCAGTTCCTAGAAAACTAGTGAAAATTAGCAGGGAGGACAGAATAAAGGAAACTAATGTAACATCTAAGCTAGTAATTTGTTCTCTGAGTAACTGATGAGTTACAAAATGACGTGGGATCGTTGCATCACGCATCGTGATCTCTGTAGGAGCAAACTAAGGCACCGCATAGGTCGTTTAATTGATTTCACAGCTATTTTACTTGAACATTTCACATAAATGGATTAAGCTAGATAAATGAGCTCGTTTGTATAATATTTGTGAATTTATGGTACAGGATTTGGAAAATAATCAAAAGTTCTTAGTCGTAAATGCAAAATAAAACTTACTCAAAATAAAAGCAATTGAAAATCAGAATATAAATACTACAGTATAACACGATAAAATCGAATAAAAAGCATTCGATATATTAGCATTACATAAAACAAGAACCTTGTCAATCCTACGAAGTCAAGATCCTACAAATTAAAGGCAGATTCACTAATTAATACAAACTATTTGCCTTTGATTGACCATAAATAGACTTTAAAATGTAAATTATTGGGTTAGAACACACTCATAAAGTCGGCAGCCATATTCGAAGGCAGATCTTCACAGCCTTGCGAAATGAGGATTCTTGGCTATCCCACATTGCATACTTTATTGGAATGGTCAGTCCAATAAATATTAATAGAATTTTCATTTGGTAATAAACTATTTCCTACAGAAATATAGAGTTACACATCAGTTGTGTTATGAGTTGTAGGAATAATGCGCGTTGTGTAAGTGCACACAAACATAAGAACAACACATTCCATTGTTTCAAATATGTTAGCAACAAATACCCTTAAAGGCTAAGAACCTTACGAATTTATTGCATCAATGATACTTCAGGCTTCATTATAGATTGACAGTGTTACTGCTATAGTATATTCGATTAAAGTTTATCGATGTTTAACGAGCGATCGAGCAGCAGTTTGAAAGCAAATCGATCATGCTCCTAGCGTCGATACTTAATCAGCTCATCCAGGCATCATCATCGATCTTGGGTAACCATTCATAAATTTATTTACGGTGTGTAATATTTTGTGACGGAAATTGTTGGATCGTTACTAGGGACTCGAAGATTAAATTTGTGACGACACATTTATTTAGAAAAGTATATGAATTTGTATATGCAGACATACTTACAGTTTGATTACGGCTAGTATATCAATCTTACAATATAGGCTCAGTTTTTGCATATTATGTAGGTATTTTTTAATTTGTAAAATGACACTTGAAAGCATTCGAGACTTCGAAGAAACAAGCCACATAAGTAGCTTTTATCTTGAAATTCAATGTCTTTGAAAAGACTTCTTCATGGACCAGTATTAGGTCCGTAAAAAATAACTTTCCTTTTGCAAATAAAATCATTTTTAGAAAGTCATACTTTAACTTTTTCATTCCATATTAATAACATTTGCTTATGCAAACATCATAAAACTGAATTAGGAAACAATTCATAAAACTGAATTCAAAATTCACACACAATAGACAATATAATAACAATTCGTTCAATCGCGACAAGCTTGTGTATTGATTAGAGAATGCACAGATGAATAGGATAACGTTTACAAATTCATTATCTGTAGGTACTTAATCAGATCGACTCTGTTCTTCTGCTGTCAGATAAATTTGTTCATGGCTATATTAACATGATTATATCTTTTTGGGTCAAAATTTTTTAAGGTATATCATTTTCATATTGTATTTTCTTTTATGACTGTGACCTTTTTTCTCAACCTTTAATTGGTAACACCGTTGTCTCAAATTTTATTTTCCTTAAAATAATTATTTTTATGACATTTTTTCTCTTGATTGCGTTATACCTTTCATGCAAGTTAAACAATGACCTAAGCTCGCTTTATAATTTAACGTCAATACCATAAGAGGTGATTCTCAGAACATTATAAATATTATGTTCAAATGACACCGAGTTAGTATGAAATGACCAATTTCTCAATAACACAGGACTATATTAATGTCTCAGTTCACATAAACTATACTAGTTCAAAGGTTAGTTTAGTATCTTGCTTCAATTAACCCGATTCACACTCGGTTTCTTCGCGGAATAAACGATTTCCTAACAGTGTCAAAACAGGGGCAGCGGTGGCAATGTAATTGAAGTTGTTTATGTGTATCCTTTATTAGTTGTGTTGATTACTTTTACTTTTCCACATAGATGCATACATGTAATCATATTGTGTCTCATGAAATGGGCAGCATTTATAGAAGTACATTCGATCAATTACCATCACAATCCTGCATCAAGTCAGGTGATCGTACAAATTTTGACAGTACTTTTGCTTTAGTTTCCAAATCATTTGCTAAATAAATTCAGTAGACAGTGGAGTTGGTGCCAATAATCACGATTCACACAAAGTTCGAGGAGTGACCAATTTCTCAACAATATGGGACGATACTAATGCTTCGCCCCGGTTGCACTCGGTCACGACGTGACCGCACCAGTACTCCACTCACCGTAAGGCGTGGTGCACATGATCCAGACTGAAGATAAACGAAAGGTCAGACATGTGCACTCTGCTTATTGAGCTTCGAATGACATCTACAGACCACGTTCTGTTTTGTATTGCAGAGAATGGAATTCTTTGATTGACAACTGTTCGTTATTAACGTGCATTGCATAGAAACAGTGAACGATTCAATAGTAAATAGACACTTTGGTGATCAAATAATAATTGATGATCATGATGCTAAAATTTTCTTCATATCATACCTGATCTAATCTCAGTTTGTTCGTTAAGGACAATGATACTGCTGTAGAAGTGACAATTAATTTAGCTTCTCATCTAGTTTTATCTAAAAGACTAACAAAACATGTCCCAACACTTGCATTACCAAATTACTCAAATGTAAACGGACCATAATGAGTGCATTTACCAGAGATGGGCGGTAATCGCGATTATTAATGACTACTGCTACAGTAATAAAGGCTTCATCTAAATAATGACGTGTTGCAACATCAATGTGCACTGAGCTTTACATTTTGTAACTTTTGCTAAGTTTAGCGAAAGTGTTCGTGGGATATTTAGTTGCAGTGGAAATGAAAGTGAAGCTTGCAATATTCGTACTTTTATTATCATTAGCTAATGCAATTCCATCGTGGTGTTTCCTGAAGGTGTTTCATGGCTGTTGCTTTTCTTATTAAATGTAAAAATATGTTCCTTTAAATCAACGATCCACATCGTACTAATGTTAAACAAGTAAAGCTCACACGTTACTATATCGATAGTTAATCTCACAAATACATCATACACTTCAACTTCGTACAAAAAAGGTATAATGTGACAAATACTAATATTATCATTATTATCAAAACAGAATAAAGTATTTCTAAGAACTTTACATGTATGTTAGTTTATGGCTCTTTGTTCACAATTCTCATAGTTACAAAATGTGGGAACATTAGATCTTAAGATATTTTGCACTATATTAATTACTTTAAAATTTACAACCTGCTGGGAAACCAGATTGTTAGTATCTGAAATCTGTTAAACAACGTGAAGATTTTGTTGATGTGTTAGATCATTATCTGATGCTTTATAATGATTCAATTTAGATGTTTTAGCTTTGGGATTAGTGGATGTAATTTTGTTGATAGCTTTGTCTTTTTTAAATGCATGTTAACAAAATCTACCAGGTCAGAATGTTAGCTACAGAGAGTATTTATCCAAATTTGTTAACGTCTGATTTTTAACCCTATGTACACATACACATACATAATATAAGTAAAAGTTGAAAGGGAAATGATAGGATCTGAACAAGAGGCAAGAATAATTTTTATCAAAAGAAAGACACATCGTCTGAACTCCCATTATCCTTGCCACGCAACATTGTGACAGATCGATCATCAAATGAAACAAGCTCATAATGATAATGCATGCTCTACTAATGTTCTTCTTATCTTCAAACCAACATTACATTTACGCAAAGACTAGGTTTAAAGAGAACGTGGTGGGGATTAATCTTTTCGTAACTTGTCAAACTGACAGACAGATTAGCGGTCTACCTAAAAATGTACAGTGCCTGGCACACCAACTTACACCAATGTGCAAACTTTTGCCATTGGGTTTTCGACTTTATAATATCTAAATGATGAAGTTGAAAATCAAATAAAGAAATTTGACAGAAAAGAGTTGGTCGACCTGTTACCCACTGTACTTACTTACTTACATAACAGGTCAGTGATGAGCTAGTTAGTCAGATTGTTACTGATAATAAACTTTATTTCTTAGGTGATTAGATTAATTATTGCATCATCGGTAAGCTTAAGTAAGAGTTTTTTGCGATGAGTATTTAGATGCGTGCTTTGAATGATTACTCAAGAATCTTACTTTTAGTTTTTTTTATTTATGTACTAAGTGATGATAAAAAATATTCAAGTCATAATAAGGTTCTGGAGTTTAGAGTTTAACTAAGCGGCCGAGCTATTCGCCATTACAATTTAACTAAAACCATATAGATATACAATAACTTGCAAAAAGCTGAGTACATCTCAGTTTCCACAGACATGATGCAATGTGTAACAGATACAGGTGCATTAAAGCCCTCAGGTGTATCCAATCAGTCATTAGATAGACCTGTATTTAACCTAGAAACTGCATACCCATGCACCTCGGTCATCTTCGCATTCTAAATAACTTGATACAATTTAAATAATTCGAGCGAACGTTAACGAGACCGTTCATAGTCAACCTTGGAGCTTTCGATGAGTCGTGTCATCGTGTGTGGCTAGACAATCGCGGTATGAAGTTGTTTTTTTATTAGCTATTTTATTTTAGGGGCTTTTAAGCAATGGCCTACGTCAGCCCCATGTATGCAATAATGATTTTCTGTAAAATTTATGAGTTTTGAAAACTTTTTAGAGTCAAGAAAAGGCAATGTTTTGGGAAAATATTGTTTTAGCAAAAATTGATCTCTAAACTTTCTACATGCAAGATTATACTATAAAGAAGACACTAATTCTAATACCTACGGAATTTTGAGATATAGCTGTGCCTAGAGTCTTGAGTATATCTTATGAAATGATGGCACATAAAATCACAAATGTCTGAATTGAAAGTTACAATATCACACAACAAAAGCAAGTAAATGATAAATATCTTAACAACGACAATAAATGGCTCAAAGCTGAATACTACTAAATTACTATGACAATGACAGACATACATAGATCAAAACAAATTAAAATAAACGTTTCCACAATTATGATATTTGCACGCGACACAAACGCTCACTTCATGGCCTCTACAACAAACAATACGGTAATATTATGTGCGTGATCGAAATTACGGAATTATTTCGTAATTGAAAATGAACAGAAAATTATATGGCCCACTTGTTTTAGTATTACAAAAGGTCACTTAAAATACACATCATTTTAATCATACAGTTTGTGTACCAAGAGCTAGTTATGATAATGATGATTTTCTTTGTTTTAATTGCTTCGTGAAACATGCAAATGTGGATCTTAAGTTTTAGAATGTGCAGACTATATTCACACGAAATCATGGTTTTCTGAACATTTGTGGAGTTCAATATACTGCAGTGCAAACCGCAAACCTCAAAGACACATTTAATGTGGTTAACCTGCTTTGACCTTTACGCAAACTCCAACATTTGACCATTACCGACCAACTCCAACAAACCACGGCTAATGCTCCATTTCTAATGAATTTGTTGCTAAGTGGAACATTGGAATGTTGGTCGACGTTGGCAGCCAATCTTTTAGTCATTAGTCTCGTGAACTCGGTGCGTGAAATGCCCTGAGAACGTCAGATTGCACATAAATTACACTGTCTTGATGTTGATGCTGATATATTAAGAGCAGATTTTGTAATAATCACACCTGATTTTATAATTCGGAAAATGTAAAATGAAGCAACCATTGATGATGATATTCTTCTTATTTTTGGCTGTACACTCACAGTATAAATCTCATTACAGGCACCTACCGCGGTGAAGGTGCGGGCGCTGGCAACGGATACTCATCTGGACCCGCTGGTGGTTACTCCGGCGCTGGTGCTGGTGGTGCTGGATCTGGTTTCGGCGCTGGCGGTGCTGGTTCCGGTTTCGGTGGTGGTGCTGGCGGTTTCGGAGGAGCTGGTGCTGGCCGTGGTTCTGGAGCTGGTGGTTTTGGAGGTGCTGCGTCCCGTCAATACCTCGCCCCCAACGCTGGAGGCCGTGGCTCCGGATCAGGAAACTTTAACTCTCAGACTGGTTACCGATACTAAGATGGAAATACTCGGGATGATGCATGGAGGTGATGGCTGTGCAAATGTAGAACAGAAAATGTTCAGAAAGCTAAAAAAAACATCGTTTGATAAAATTTATAGACGAAGTCACTAAAAAAAAAGAATTATTACGTAAGTTGACTTTTTATAAAAGTTAAAGTATTTTAATTGTTCTTTATTTTTTGTGTGGCTACTAATGGAAAATTAATTCGAATGTTTTGATTTGCACAGTCGTTGGAACAATTTTCGTTTATCGTTTGTTACTGAACATCGTATTTATTAACTTCATATTTCTTTCGCACTTTTTTATCTTGAAGCCCTCCACCATCATTCACTGTATGATGTATAAATAACGAATATTTTGCTGTGACTCCATACATGTGATTATTATTTTTAATAATATTGTTACTTTGTTCATATAGAATAGTTCTGTCTGTCTCATCTTTTGTAATGTGATCTCAAATCTTTGTATAAATCTCTACATTTTCTGTTATAAAAATTAATTTCTTCCTGTTAAAAATGATAGTTATAAGTTTTTATACAGCAAAGCAAGGACAGTATAGAGTTAGTATGGAAAATGTATAAAAAAAAGTTATGTCTAGTTATTAAGAATTGTAAATATAAAATGAAGCAACGAATATACGACTTAATGCAAGAAATGTTTTGTGGTTTTTTTATATTTCAACCTTATCAATATCGGATTTGAGTTTAAAATCCTTAATTTTGAAGCAGTGTTTGAAGTAATAATCATTAGGTACTCAAAAGTGTTAGTTTCTATCACAACTGATTTCTTCTACTCATTTAAATAAAATAGCTTTTTAAAATACTGAACTAAGCGCAATAAGGATGTCACAAAAGTGATAGTACTCTCACGCTTCTAATTTTATTTCTCTCACTTTAAGCCAGCAAAAGAGATTAACTATTATTTAAAATAATTACTCCACTATAGCAAAACAAAAAGGAAGATAACTGTATTTTTACTGAACAGTACAAATATACTAAGAAAATGGTCTATTTGTTTATATAGCAAGTACTAATTAGTATATATCCGTAACAAAAAATATGTTAGGGCTATTAGTTCAAAAGAGGAATTCTGTCCTCTTTTATTCTTACTTATTGTAGCAGTAAGTCCAATTATTGTTGAACCAAAGAACTTACAATTAAAGGCAAATAAAATCGCTCGTTGGTACCCATAGAGGGCATTGTATTGTAACTTAACTCGTCGAGTACCGGTTTTATAGACACAATTAAAGAACAATAGGTCGCGGTCACCGGTGACCGCTTGGTGTTTGACAGTTTAAATGGACTAAACTTCTTCAAGATCTAACTTAGCCATTTAAGGTTTAAACGGGTTCAGTTTTTGACAAAACACAGCTAAGTTGGTATATGAATGTAATAATTCTTGTATAAATTACGTTTAAAAAAACCGACTTCAACCCGTTCTTTTTTGAAGTCGTTTTATTAATATACCAAAACCTTCTCCTAAGTATAACAAATACTTTCCTGAAAACCGTATTGGTATCGGTTCAGCCAATCGTGCATAAGCATACACAGGTTAAATCGAGAACCTCCTTTTTTTGAAGTCGGTTAAAAAATCAAAGCCAGATTTTACCGGCTAAAATTGCAAAGGCAATTTTACCGGCTAAAATTGCAAAGGCAATTTTACCTTATTGAACCTAATCTAAATTGAAATTCACAGCAATTAATGTAACATCAAATTCCTAACACCTGGTAGACCCAAAACAAAATCTAAAGGCTTTAGACATAGGCAAGTTCATGAATAATAAAATTGAATCATCGTGTTCTGAAATCAAAGGACAAAAAGTACCGACAAATCTAATGCATCTACAGACTCTAAAAGGAAAAATGTAGATTAAGGATCTATTTAAAAAAAAACTGGTTGTGTCTCCAAGGCTCATCATGTCTATTTATGGGGAGAAGCTTGACAACCTAGGTAAGAACTTGATGGTAATATATCAGTCGACGGACAAACATACACCTAGATAGATTTGTCAATGCTATTTGTATTGAATGAAACTGTAATTGCACTACCAAAGACGTTCTGTGATATTTTAGAGTGTACGGCTCAATTTTAAAGATTTAGGGGCTATATTCATGACCAGCATTCTGTGACACGCGATTGTAGCACACAAGTTTCTAGAATGGCTTGACACTAATCGAGTTCCTTGTCAAACATTTACGTGAGTAAGCCGAAAAATGTATTAATTAATTTTTTTTATTCTATAGATTTATCAACAAATTTAATCCAACTATACCTACTTGGCTATACCTAGATTGAGCTCAATAACGTACAATTGGAGTGTGCATTATATCCACCATTGGATGAAAAAGGCCATATAAAACTTGCAAACTTCTTATGTTAGGGCCATGGAGAGCTAGAAATTTGGTCAAATTTCATTTTTATTGAGATCAAGTCTGTTATTTATACATGAGCATCTACTTTTATTATTTTATGTAATTCTTAAAAGAACAGATGGTTCCACAATATATTACATAACATTGAATCATTTCTTGATTTTTTATGGAATAACCGACAAACGAACAGAACGCCCATGGACACTCGAAACACTAGAATCGTTACAATTTCGGTGGGGATGGGGATTAGGAATTTGACAATCGGGAAGATTGGGTCTCCTCCCCAATTTTCTCGGTAACTGGACCTCCAGCAACCTCACTGACACGACGAAACACAACGCAAGTGTCGCTTCGCGTTGGTTTTCTGTGAGGCCGTGGTATCACTCCGGTCCAGCCGGCTCATCTGTCCCGCACAAACTTTGCTATTGACAGTTGCTATCGCATTGTTCAAAGATAATAATTTATTTTGTGTCCTCAATAAAATCCTCACTATTTTAAAGACCACAATATACTAATCGACACCTCTCATTTTATATTAGCAAAATCCATACTGATACAATAATAATAAAATATTGTTTTAACGCCATCTATATTTCTACGCCCGAACTACAAACTAAACGAGCTTTGTAAGCTCATGAAGATCGGCGTGAGCGCCTATACGTGTTCTGTACAGTTCATTTATCATGAGCGTTGTTACTCATAAATATATTTTATTTACTTCAATAGAGCGCTAGTGTAGCTTCTTACCTTTTTCTTTGTACACAGTATCGTAGATTCGATTCTCGTAACTCAGTAGTAATAATCTTAACACGTTTTTGTTAATGTTTTTTGGGATGATTGATTCGAGTTATTTGAAACTCATGGTCATCTTACAAGTTGGAATTACTTGGAAGATGCGTGATCTATATCGTTGCTTAAGTAAGGTTGAGATGACTCGTTACTTAGAATATTAAAAAATAGTGTACTATCAATACCAAGTATGGTGTTCAATTGGTGGCTTGTTCGTCTTCGAATCACTTAAAGCAGCGGTCGGCAACCTTTTGGTAGGCAAGGGCCACAAGGTGGCAAAATAAACTAAAGGCGGGCCGCAGTCATGGTAATTGACCCTAGAAGCCCAATATAGCTACGCATAATTGGTCAGATTGCATAGGAAAAATAAAAATGCTATTAAAAATTGATAAAAGATAAGGAATTTAATTCGTTCACATAATACTTACATTATGTTTATATGTTTGGGTTCTATAGCTAGAAAAATAAGAGAAAAATAAAGTAATGAAAACTACCAACTACCTACATAGAAAACTGATTTTACACAAATTTTAGTGTGATGTCTGAGGTTGCATTTGAGAGGCTATTTCTTGTATGTTAGCTGTCATATTTGTAGTTGCGATTCGTAGAATGGCTCTCAAATGCTCATCTGTGAGACGAGAAGCATATTTATTTTTTCTATAATTGACAATTGAAAAAGTTTGTTCGCATAAATAAGTGCTACCAAAAATTGTAATGAACTGCTTAGCAAACTTTTTCAACTCGTCAAAATCAGATGGCAAGCTAGCATAAAATTTAACAAGATCATTGATTTCATAGAAAGAGCTTTTGAGAGTATCATTAGATTGAAGATCAATCACGTTCATTTGTAAATGAATCGGTACATCCTCAACATCACACGAATAAGGATTTGCAAAAATCTTCAGTTTGCTTGAAACTTTCTCAAAATCACAAAATCTGTCGCTAAATTGAGTTTGCAGCTGTATTAAAATATCTTTCATTTTATCACTTTTCCAATGAAAATTAATTCCAGCTTCTTCGACAGCCGTTTTACAATTCGGAAAATGATCTAACTTTTTTTCATCAATATGTTTTATAAAGAGTCTATTTTTCATTTGGAATGCCTTTACGTCTGTGTGCATATCAGAGATTAGTTTATTTTTACCTTGAAGCCTTATATTCAGCGTATTTAATTCATGAGTTATATCTGTCAAAAATCCAAGGTCTATTAACCATTGAGTATCTGTTAGCTGTGGAATAGGTTTGCCTTTTTCATTCATAAAAGTGTTGATTTCTTTTCTGAGATCAAAAAATCTTTTCAGTACTGCACCTCTGCTTAACCATCTCACCTCAGAATAATAAAGAACATCTCGATGATCTGCTTCCGTATCTGCCAGAAACTGCTGGAATTGACGATGAGTCAACCCATTTTTTCTGATGTAGTTTACAGTAGCTACCACGATGTCCATTACTTCTTTCCAAGATACGACTTTGGAACATAATGCTTCTTGGTGGATAATGCAGTGAAAAAATAGTGGGATGTTACATCCTATCTCTGCCAGTTTCGTTTTAATTCTACCTACCAAACCCTTATTTTGTCCACTCATGTTCCTGCCTCCGTCAGTTGTTACACTTACCAATTTTCCCCATGGTAATTGCATCGATTCTAGCGCTTGTCCTAAGTTACAAAACAAATCTTCCCCTGTAGTCGTTCCCTTCAAACTACATAACTGTAAAAGCTCTTCATAGACATTAAAGTTTCTATCGATTCCGCGAACAAATATTAAAAGCTGAGCAGTATCTGAAACGTCATTACTTTCGTCGGTAGCTAAAGAGAACCATTCAAATTGTTGTGC